GGACGAATGTTTCTAAGGAGGGAAGGATGTTACATCCTGCGTTTCTCACGTTAAAGTTTCGTCGTAAGTGTTATATCCCGCATTTCGTACATTAAAATTTTGTCTTAAGTTGATCGACGTAGACTCGGGGATGAGATTATCTTGAGGTAAAAGCATTTATGTTATTTATAACAAGCGATAAGTAAGTTCCATGAAGGTTAAAGGATAAACGAAAAAAAAAAAATGAGTTTCGTTGAAGGTTGTCGATTTGGAATATAATACGATCCAAGCCATAAATACCCGGTATTTACGGACTAGTACCATACAAGGTACCCAATGACCATGATAGTAGGGTGCACAAAGTGTGTTAAGTGTGTAGTATTTTAAATAAGTTGAGGTAATTCTTAATTGTATGGATAATTGATCAATTATTGGGTAATGGGATATTACCTAATTAACTAAGAAATTATGGGATAAGATTAACCCCCCCCCCCCCCCCACAAAAAAAAACATTAAAATGACTCTTAATGTCTTGCATAGATGTCACATTTTGGAGATTCAATAATAATAAGAGAGGGAGAATCTCAGATGGAACCGGATGGAGAAAATGAAGAAGGAAGGTGAATAAATGAGGAAGAATGGTGAATAAGTGAGGAAGAAAGGTGAGATATAAAAATTATTAGGAGAAAATTTAAAAAAAAATGAATGAGTGTAGGCTAACTAGCTGTTACATGCTGTTAGGTGGGGCATTTTTTTATGTTTTTTTCAGCCATCACGCGCTCAATAGCATGTTATTACACACGATTTGTCAGAAATACGACAAGGGTGTTTTAATATGAAAGAGAATATAGTTTGAGGGGTTTTGGGGACACAAGATATTTTAAGCAGAAAACTGACAAAAACGTTACAGCTTAGGGGTTTTTAGGGTATTAATTCGGAAAATATTTCAAGAAGTTTCAAAACTCTACGTCGAAAGAAGTTTACGAATAATTATAACCGATGACAATTACCAAAATCTACAAAGAGCAACAAAGCTTCTAGGTGTTCATTACATGAGAATACATGTAAGATTACATTATGATGTAAATTTTGATAAAACCTTCATATATATGTAAGTGTTACGGTACAAATATGAGGATTACTAATTAACTATATGAGAAGTTGAGAACTATCATATAATAGAAGAAGCAAAGCGAAATAGCATCTAAATAAACATGAGATGCAATAATGATATATAGGATAGCTAACTCTGGGGAAATCGGTAGTACCAACATGATAGAGTGTAAGTGAAAAACTATTTTTAAAAATGATGTTGAAATCTCAAAAGTTAGATGGGAGAAAGGTCCTTAATATAACTCTGTTGGTTTACTTAAAAAGAATATTCTATGATTGAAGGTCAAAAAAGGCATTCAACTTTTGATGTCTATTTTAGTCTTTTTAACGTTACATTTTGGGGCTTTCCACTTTTAGTATGATGATGTTTAATTTCATCTAATTTATTGGCTTCAGCAACGTGTTTCTGTAAACTTAATTTTATACTTTTATTTTGGTTGGAACAAGAGCTCTCTTCTGACTTACAAGAATATTGAATGATTGTAATATACTATGAGATCATAGAGGAAGTAATTATTACTAAATGTCAGGGAAGGATTTGATAGATGTGAACCCATTTAGTTACGTTGCTGATGCCAACTAATTTGGTCCTTTTACTTTTTTGACATTCTTGTAGGCATCTGCCGCGGGAGCTCTCTCCGTGTGTGTGAAAGACCAGCCAAAAAATGTGATACTTTACCTAGATGGACTAGTTAACAAACTGCTTGTACTTGTAGTGTAATAGCAATATTGTTCGCTCTAGGCATAAACCCTGTCGGGTTTAAAACGCGGCACTACGACTTGTTAACTTATATACCCAGCTTCCCTCTTGTGTTTTGCCGATGTGGGACTCTGTCTAAAGTCTGAAGTGTTACATACACCCCTCTTATTACAAGTGGAGGGGGATGATCCTCCTACTAGGTACTTGCTAAGGATATGTGTAAATCACTTAACTTTTTAAGATCAAATTTCTTTATAGTTTGGCCCTCTTTCTATTTTCGTAATTTCACTGCAGCGATGTGCTGCAATTTGCTTCTGCCTGGGACAGGATTTTCTTCCTTTAATGAGAAAAGTCATGCCCTTTTTTATTCAATGTGCTCAACCTGATCCTACTTCAGCATGTTTTATCTTATACTGCTACGCTGAGAGATTAAAGGAAGACTTCTACCCCCCCCCCCCACCCCCCCCCCCACCCCGGTTGCATTCTGCTAAATTGGCTGTTGAGAAAGGGATTGCTCAAGGTGGAGCTGAGTCATATTTCACAAAGTTTCCAGGCGATATAATACTGTCTCTGTATAAGCTTTGCATGAGGTTGTCCTTAACATCAGTACTTATGTTGTTTCTTCTTTTCTTTTTTTATGGTGGGAAAAATATTTAAAAGTTTGGTCTATTTGGATAAAGAGAAAGTGATACTTCATTTTTATCTCATGCAGGAGCCTATGATAGAAGTATGTGCAGTCATGTTGTATGTATTGAATGATTGTCTGAAGGTTTGCTTATGTCTAACAGAATTTCTTTAATATTCTTGATCCAATTTTTATAGCATTTCCTATTTTTGTGGTATATTTCTTTTGAATTTTTATTTACCAACTTATTCATACTGTTGGCCTTTACATTCCCACACAGTAAATAACTCCATTTTTTTTCTCCTTCAAAAGATATCTAAAGATAACACCTGTCCAAGCTAATATTAGTTGGTATTCTCTACTAGAAGTAGAAGAAAGCTCAGTACAGCTCTTATACAGAGGAAGACATTAGACAAAGAGCAATGACTTGCATTCTAACATTTCCAGGGTATCAAGTAAAGTTGGTGTGGAATTAAATTCACGACAGATAGGGTAATCACATAAGGTCTCTCGACATAACTAGATAAGAATAGAGAGTCTGACGAACATCTTAGCAACTTTTTATAACATTGACTCCAATGGGAACCTTCTTTCCTGTAAACCCCTAATCCAACTTCTAGCTATTGGCTGAAATGTTCCATTAGTACTACCAGAGCGAGAAACAATAATAGAAATCTTAAATTGCAATTAGCTTGATCAATGACTTTTGTGGCATCAAAGGTGATGTCAATTTATGTATAGAAATCATAAATTGCATAAATAACTCGCTCGTGTAATTGTATTCATGAATAAAAATCATCAGCTTCTACCATTAAATTACATGGTATCAGAGCCGCTAGGGCTCAATTTATGCTCCGAACTTTCTCCGGCATCAGGGTGGACAGCGAGTGAGTCACACGAGCGAGTGTTTTATTGGTTAAATTATCTCTCTTGGTTCATTTATTTTTGGCTAATAGCTTGATTAATGACTTCTGTGGTATCAAAGGTGATGATTAAGAATTTGGAGCAATTTTGACGAATATGGTTCTGAATTAAGTAAGATGGGCAACTATTTATGCAATCATAAATTGCCATTGATAGAAGGAACTGGACCTTCACAATGGGTATACATATACTACATACTGATACTATTGCAAAATCTTACCATTGACATTTAGCAGTACTTAAAATTCAAATGTATTACAATTTTTATGCACGAACTCTTTTGTAATGTACTAGAATTGAAAGAAGAGAATAAGGGCTGAAATTCAGTAGTTTTATTGATTTTGTACTATTACAATCTACTCTCACTCAATCACTACTAGGAATTACAACGATTAGTAATGGAGCTTGAGCGGATCATCAATGGTGGAATCATGTAAGAAGAAGAGAAAGTGAGGTGAGGAAGATGATCAGAAAGAGAAGAAGAAAGAAAGAGAATCGAAGAGAAGGAAATGGAGAATACCAGATTTGATAACTGCCAATGCTCTCCTTTAGTTGTTTATTTAACGACCCAGCTGTAATTAACAGCCCAACTGTAACGGCCAAACTACCCAACTCATCTGGGTCTTTTATTTTATAACACTACTTTTAATTTGAACCGTCTAAACTAATAAGAGTAATCTCATCTCATGCTGCCACGTCATCTCTTCACTAATACACTTCAAATTCCCAATTTAGCAATAGGGTTCCCAATTCCAGCTGAGTTCCGACTAACAGTACCCTCCCATTCAGAACGACCTTGTCCTCAAGGTCGGAGTTGGCTGATAAAGTCGGGAAATTGACTCTTAATGTACCTCCAATCCTCCCACGTAGCTTCTTCTGGGCTCAAATTAGACCATTGTACCAAAACCTTCACAACAGCTGCATTATTAATCTTTACCATGCGTCTCCTTAAGATAGCCACCGGCTGCACCATTACACGACCATCATTGTCGCAAAGGGGAGGCTGATGCTAAGAATTGATTTTAGGGCCAACCCTCTTCTTTAGCTGTGAGACGTAAAAGACATGGTGGATCTGGGTCCCCGCTGGAAGTTCTAGCCGGTATGCCACTGCTCCTATCTTTTCAAGAATCTTGTAAGGACCATAGTATTTAGCATTCAGCTTTAGGTTCCTTATAACTGCTACAGATGCTTGCTTGTAGGGCTGTAATTTTAGGTAGACCATATCACCTTCATTTAATACTCTTTTTAGTTCTATTTTTGTCTGCATAAAATTTCATACGGGCTTGGCCACTTGTAAATTTTCCTTAAACTGTTGTAGAATGTGTTGTCTTAGAGACATGCATGCACCCACTTGAGTGTTTGTATAATAAGGTAGGGATCCTAACGGCACCTAAGAAGGGGGAAATCCATATAGGGCTTCAAATGGTGTAGCCTTGAGGGTTGTGAGGTGGTTGGTGTTGTACCACCATTCAGCCATTGGAAGCCATTTCAACCGGTGCTTAGGATTAGCAAATACCATAGATCTCAAATAAGTTTCTAGGCACCTATTAAGCCTTTTAGTTTGGCCATATGTCCGGGGATGGTAGGAAGTGGACATAGTGAGTTTGGTCCCCATAGACTTGAACAACCTACTAGCCTTTTAGTTTGAATTCAAGCTTCTCAGTCTGAGTCACAGTAGGCTAGTAGTTGATCAAAGTTCTGTGCAGGCATGAACAATCCTAGTCCAGGTGCTTCCTTTATGTACTTAACCACTCTCAAGGCAACTTCCATATGAGAAGTCTTTGGACTATGCATGTACTGACTCAGGACTGTAAAGGCCAGGCAGGTCTGGTCATGGTGAGATATAACAGCCTCCCCACTAATCTCTGATAGGGGACCTGCATCCTTGAGACTTTCATCCTTGCTACTGCTTTGTGTGTACTTGACATACTCTTGAGAGGACAGCTTTTGATTCAGTTCTAGAGGAGTAACAGCTGGTTTGGCTCCACCTAGTCCAGCCTCAGCTATCAGTTCTAGAACATACTTTCTTTGACACATCACAATACCCTTCTTTGACCTCGCAAACTCAATCCCAAGAAAGAACTTCAACTCTCCCAAGTTTTCATTTTGAATTTGGTTTGCAGCTCATCTCTTGTTTGTTGTAGAAATGCTGACTATTACCTGTAATCAGTAGATCATCTGCATAGACTAATACCACTGTTATGTCACCATTGGTTTTCTTGGTAAACAAAGAGTAGTCATAATGACTCAGCTGAAATCCCATTTGAACCAAGGCTTCTGTCAACTTTTTGTTCCACTGTCTTGGGGCATGTTTGAGGCCATATAGTGATTTATGGAGTTTGCAGACCTTCATATTCTCCCCCTGTCTAGCAAATCCCCGAGGGATATGCATGTAGACCTCTTCTAGAAGATCACCATTCAACAATGCATTATGCACATCCATCTGATAGATCAGCCAGTTCATAGAAGCAGCAAGTGCAACAATGGATCTCACTGTGACCATCTTAGCCACAGGTAAGAAGGTTACCAAATTTCTCACTTGTAGGTCCAACAGAGAACTTTTGGGTCCCAAGGCCATCAGTACCTTCCAAAAGTTGTTTCAGTTTTTGTAGAGGTTAACCTTTTAGATCCTAGATTGAGTTGTTCATTTGTGATAGATATAAAGATTTTGCCTTTGTGATTCTTTTATTTATTCTTACAAGAAAAGCATTAAAACGGCCTTATGAGATTTTATGACGCAGATTCTTTCCCTTTTGCTTTAAATTTTCATAGACATAGCTGATGGATCAGCTGATACGACTAATTCTTTTGTGGAATGTGGCCTTTTACTAAACTAAATTTAACGTAATCAGCATTGACATATCTTTTGCCTCGACAGGAGATGGAATTGAAATCCCTTCTATCACCTGAAGAAGATGCTAACTTTTAAACAATTCAATGAAACCGCTGCTACTGCATTATTGTTGGATCAAACTTTCTGATGGTCAATATTCCTCCAATATAATTTCCGCATAATTCTTTTTCTGAGTCCTTTGGTAGGTTATTCCAGCTTTGGTTGAATAGCCTGCCTATAAAAGCTGGCTTGATTGAAGCCAAACATGTTCCTGAGTTGTGTTAGAAATCATTCTGTCCTTCCTGAATTTTTGAAGTTCCCTCGCGAGTGCAGTGTCTAGTTTCCTTTTTTTTTATAATTTGGTTCGGGGTTGGGGTGGGGGGGGGGGCAGTACCTCTCGAGTAGGGGTGACAAAATCAACCTAAGAAAATATGACCCGCTCAATGCAAATAAAACGTACACTTGCTTGTTACTGCAGCAACCAATTAGTTCTTCACTTTGGACAACTCTTTAGTGTCGCGCGTATGGCTTGAAGTTAGACTAGTTTTTTGGCAGATCTTGCATTGTAGTTAGTGTGTTTAAAGTTAGTTGACGCCAAGGATTTTGTAACCTTTCCCCTCCTATCAATTTCTTATTGGTACATAAATGTCCAACTAGATGTAAAAAGATACACCTGTAGCAGAAAATACTAGAAACAGAGTTAAATTTCTGAACAACAAACTGTGGAAGTGATTGTTGAGAGTCACGTTATATAGCCCATGAATAGCCACAAATCTCAACATCTTCCTCCACTTTGCACCCTCCTTCCAATCAAATCTATTCTAAGGTGTCCGGAGGCAGGGGAAAGAAAGGAGGGATTGATCGACCAACTTGAACAGCATATCTCGTTGAATCAGTCTTTTTCGCCACATCGCGTATAACGGGAATCGAACCCCCTCCGCTGCTGGCGGGCAGATGTATAATGTACTACTTCGATCCAGCAACTTGTTAGGAGTAGGTTTTGGCTTGCCCTTTTCTTCTTATTAGTCAGATAGGTTTTCCACCCTTTCCCCTTTTAATATAATAATAAGGTAAGCTTCCAAAGCTCCTTTCTTCAGCTGGTGCGCAGGAGCACACTTTCGTTTTCCCCTTTACAAGGGGCTTTCATGAATAGGGATTTCCCGCCAGCAGTCTTCTCTTCCTATCTTTGAATGAATCCATTTTCCTCTCCTCCCCACTTCCACCTTCTTTGTATTGGTTTTTGTGGGAGATCATGTCGAAAAGAGCGAAGGGGTTGGCTTCGAATCACATGAAGCCCATATAGATGTCCACTCCTATTTCCTCTAAAGCTCTCCCTGTGGGGAACACAATCAGTCCATACAAGGACCTACTGAGTCATCCACCCTTGCATCTATTTGATGCATCATCACATGGCCGTCGTGTAACTCCTCGAGAATCATGTCATTCGCCTGTCACGTGTCTTTAAGGCGGGGGCACGGGGTTATGGTCTTGTTACTTTATGTTTCGGAGTCAATTGATCCCTCGATCAAGTCCTAACTAGAAATATCTTAAGAGAAGAAGAGAAATCATTTGGATTCGAGGCGAAACCCCTCTCCTTACAGTCAAGTGGCTTTCAGCTCCTCTCCGCCGTTACGGAGTTCTTCTGCTCTAATCTCCGAAATCGAAGGTCAGCTGACTGAGGAGTTAGTATTGATTCATGCAAAGATGCTCCTTTGAAGCTGGAGTAAGGAATTGTCCACCTCATCACCCCGAAGAGCAGTGGCTCTGTTGTTTTGCACGCCTACAGAGAGAGACTCCAAAAGTACCGACGCTAGCTATTTCTGACGGATAGCTATGTTAGCTAGGCCACCTTCCATCCTTCAGCCCTTCGCCTATCGGCTCCCCTGCCCCCGGCCTCTCACTTCGTTTCGTTCTTCTTCTGTACCGTCGCTTGAATGAAGACACCCGATCGGCCCGACTTTCCCAAATGCCCCCCACCGGCCCTTCTCCTTTACGGGTCTGGATTTTTCGCGTCGTTTCAGTCATCGTGGTCGACGGGCGAGGAACTAAGAAAGGCGCCAGCGTGTGTAGTCTTAATGTTTCTTTCACAATACACTGCAAGTAAGGAAATTTTCCAACATCAGCTTCATATACCAATTTGCCTCTCCCATTTACATGTGAAAGTTCTTGTTGTATTATCTCTAAAATATGTGGATTCTTGAGTAGTTCTGCTCCAATGTTTTTGATGTAGTATCTATCCCTGCTACAACCAAGTCCAATAATATGTGCTCAATGTGAGCTCCATCAAGCTCTTCTAGCTATTTTTGCTTATGTTAAGAAGCTCGTCTAAAACATCATCCTTTATATCGTTTTTGTAGTTGCTCAATGTTTAGAACGAAGACGTAGTAGTTTTTGTTGGATGTCTTTTCCACCTTTGGAATAATAATAGCTCATGCATTAATATACTCTATTGTATTAGTTTTGTTCTTTTCTTGACTTGATGTAATAATGTGAATTTTATTCTCACATGATTATCAATATAGAGGAATTATGTTTGTAAGATTAGAGAGATCCTAATTAAAACCCCTTTTGTTAATTAGCTTTATTTTCTTATATGGTCATCAATGTGCACGCTTAATATCATGAATAATGTGCTTTATGTAATAGCTCAGTTCACTAGTGATATTGTCCGCTTTGAGCTTACGCCCGCACGGCTTCAAAACGTGTCACTAGGGTCTAAAGCTTGTTTACTTATATAGCCAGCTTCTCTCTCGTGTTTTGTCGATGTGGAATTCGACTAGGGTGTCACATACACCCCACATTAGGGACTCAGCATTTGCTAAGGTTTGTCCCACCACCATTCAAGGTTGCGTGCGAAGTAGCTCTGATATCATATATAACTGCCCATCCCACTAGTGATATTGTCTGCTTTGGATTTAGGCACGCACGGCTTTAAAACACGTTACTAGGGTGTCACACTTTATTTCACTTACTAATTTTCCTTTTCTTAATTTGAACTGTCACCTTACAAGGTTCAAAGAGAGTAATAGTGTATGTCTAAAGTATACACAAATGCATAATCTTAATCTAAAAGAAACTTAGAATAATGGCCAAGATACACAAATGAAATACATTTTTCCAAACAGCCTTGAGGCCATTGACCTCTTAATAGCATAGCCACACTCACAAATAAATAACCACATCACACCACTTTCTACACATTTCTTCTCACCTTCAACAGCCAAAATTAAATTACAAAAATCATCACACAAAAAAAGACCTCTTTTTTTAAACTTCATCAGTAACCAAATTTAATTTTAACAAGAATTAATTATGCTTGTTACTCATGAACATTTTCCCTGTCAAACCACAAGCCAAAGCTTCTTTAGGTATTTTCTTGACAAGATGAACACCTTCAGCAAATATAACTCCCATTCCCATATGTAAATGTGGCTCAATATGACAATGAAATGCCCAAACTCCAGGATTATCTGTCACAAATCTTAGTGCAGTCCAACCAAAGGGAAAAATCACAGCAGTATTTCTCAATGGTGGATTCTTTAAATTGAACTTCTTGACATCTTTTTCACTAAATTTCCCTTCTCCATATCCTAAAACCCAAAAATCATGTCCATGCAAATGCCAAGGATGAATTTCACTAACATCTTTAGCTAAGGCATTTGCATTTTGTAGGATAATGTCAATTGTAGTATTGAACTTTAGCATATACACACCATTACCATATGTAGAATTAGAATTTGGTGCTTGTTTTAGGACATCATAGTCTCTAGGGAAGTTGTCTGGTGGAGGTTTCGTGTCAAACGCGTTTATGCCATATCTAATCGAGCCTAAATAAGGCGTCGTTGGCAAGACCAACGACACATTATTTATAGCCCATTTCGTGTAACCATCGATCTTGTTCTGAGTATTGAGCAGGATAATACGACGATGGTTCTGAGGTGGTGGCTTAGGTGATCCCATTAGGGCAAAAATTTTGTTAGAAAATGACTTACTATGGTTATAATCATTCCAAAGGGGTGCTATAGGTGGTGGTAAAGTTGGAAATTTGGATGCAGAATTTGGAATATAGTTTAATAAGGTGAGGCCTTGAGGTGTTTTTGGTTCTCTTCCTCTTACATTTATTGAAATCCAATAGTTTTTGGTAGGATCTTGATCTGTTTTGAAAAGAATTGAATAGCTTTCACCTGAATAAATGTCCATGTCTTGTACTGAAAATGGTTGAACATAGTTTCCATCTGCTTCTACTACCACCATCTTGTGACCCTATATATAAACACAAATACATGTAAGAACTACAACAACAACATACCCGGTGTATTCCCACAAGTATAGAGAAAATACACTTGTAGTCTGGGGAGGGTAGAGTACGCAGTTTTACCCCTACCTTGTGCAGGTAGAGAGATTGTTTATGATAGACCCTCGCCTCAAAGCAAGAATGCATAATCACAATAGTATAAAGAAAATACATGTAAGATTTGATTTTCTTTATTTTAAAAAAAAAAAAAGTTTAAAGGGAAAATATAGCTATTCATGAAATTTAATATGGAAGAACGCGTAATGATGCATCATGCAATTGGTCAATTGTAAGCTATGTTGTTCAGACTCTGCAAAATATTATCACACTCATGTTGAATATTCCAAATACATATTTTTAGAGAATCTGACACATATCTAACGACATTTTTGAGGAGAAAAACAACATTACAAGTATATGACATGGAGAAAAAATGCAAGAATCGCCATCTTTGTTCTCTCTATCTATATATATCATAGCATACTATATTATAAGTATGACGACGTAAAAGGAAAGTTTAAAAGACCAAAATTCCTATTAAAGCTGAATGACTATTTTGCCCTTCAGGTTACTCCTAAAATTTTATTGTGTTCATAAATGTAATTATATATTTATGTTTTGTTTCTTTCATATTCCATATTAATAATTAAGCTTTCTATACTTTTTGCATTCTTTGCAACATTATAAATTTTCTTACTTATCACTGGTTGTTATATTTTTCATCTTCCACTGTAATAATTTTCTTGCACAACCTTTCACATTTTTATAGCATTTTATAAAAGTGCACAATAGGGTGTCTAAATATTTATATATAGTAAAGTAAAATAAAATACATCAAAGAAAGATGGCTTCCTCTTCAAAAATAACATTTTTAGTAAAAAAGATTTTAAATTCTTCTCTAAGTCACTATCCCATTGAGACCTATTTCTGTGGTCATAAAGTGTTGGTCGTTTTAGATTTCATATTAATTTTTCTTTGTTCCTTCCTACAAGTATTCATAGAACTGTACAAGTATTTTTCTTTTTCTGAGGTATAGCATCATCCATGTTAGAACTAGTAACCACAATAGATAAATGGTGATATTCAAATCAAATTTTATTGTGCAAGTATCTTCTTTTTTTGAGAGATAGAATTATCCATGTTAAAACTGATAACTATAATAGATAATGGTGATATTCAATCAAATTTTATTGTGCAAGTATCTTCTTTTTTTGAGAGATAGAATTATCCATGTTAAAACTGATAACTATAATAGATAATGGTGATATTTAAAGTTTAAAATCTACTCTAATTTCAAGTCATGTTACTATAACAATTTTTACTTAACAAATTGTATTTCTTCTTTTTGTCAGTTCTTGGAAGAGTTTTAAAGTTAAAATGGTATATCAATGCGAAAATAACATGTAAAAAGTCACAAGCATGATAAGCTAATATGGATAATTTTCAGGACAATACTGAAGACCTTCATCAAATTGAGCTTGTAATTTTTCCATTTTTAAATTTTTATTACTCATTATATACATGCTTTAATATATTATCTATATCGTTTTAAGAATCTATTTTAATTTATATGGGACACACGTACAATGCAAGTATATAGAAATTAGTCTATATATATATATATATATATATATATATATATATATATATATATATATATATATCTTTTGCACATATTATAGAGTTCGATATGAACCGTTAATTATGTCAAATCTACTGTTTAGATCCACTACTAAAAGGCAGTGCTATCTTTGTCCAAGGGGAGTCAATTAACACCTTCTTATTAGAAAATTATGTAGATAGGTAGCAAATTTTTAGATGTATATCTATACTATATGTTAAAACCTTCTTCATTTATTTAATTTTATATTTTGAATCTCGTGAAAATTCGGACTCCGTCACTTTCACCACTATTCCAACTATATACCCTACACCATAGCTCCACCCCACAAAGCGTCTAAGGGAAATAGAGAATCTACCACTCATCATACTACCATCCAATAGCAAAATTATAATACTGTATCTTTTTTGGAAAGTGGAAAGAACATAATGAAGGAAAAGATAAGGTTAATTTTGTATGTTTACTATTAAAAAAATTAGAAAAAGGGAGCCTTGGTATAACTGGTAATTAAGTTGTTGCCATGTGACCAGGAGGCCACGGGTTTGGACTGTCGAAACAGCCTCTTGCAGAAATATAACGGAAGGCTGCGTATAATAAACCGTTGTGGTCTGACTTTTCCGCAGATCCGCGCATAGCGAAAGCTTAGTGCACCGATATTGTCCTTTTTATAAAATAAAATATAAAAGAAATAAATAAGTTTTGTATATTTACCCCAATGGCCAAGTTGAGTGAAGCCAATGCAGTAGTACTGGCAATCCTAAGCCTGTAAATCTTGTTGGGACGCACGCGCAGAATCTGGGGTGCGTACTGTTCGCCCCCTCTTAACTTGCACTGTGGAAGTGGTGGTTTGCTAAACTGCGCCGCAAGTGAACAATTGTATTGACCTCTCCCATTTATCAACAATGTCTGTTTTTTCACACCATGAAAAGGTTAGATCAAAACATGATTTGAAATTTTTAAACATAAATGGTAAATTATAAAAGGAAACTATACTATTATTTATCATGACTAAGTTCGACACTGAATATGAATTTATATAAAAAAAATTAATTAAATTTCAATAAATATTAAATTTAGACCCATGATTTTAACAGTAGAATAAAATAGTAATAAAAATTTAAATAACTGAACCTATTAAATTTAAATTTTGAATCGGCCACTAATAATGTATATTTGAGGTATAATTAAACACAAATAACCTAATCATATTTTGATGATAAACCATATATGTAGGACACATGTTGCACTCATTTGTTGAGTGCATAAACCGGCCGAATAAGTTTTTTTTTTTCCACCATTTGTTTAGTTTTTTCGTCTCAAAATAAATTATTTCTGTAAATATAGCAGTTCTTTTTCCGAAAGATAAAGTGGATTTTTTTATAATTATTTTAACATATTTAAGGGGAAGGTATCAAATAAAAGCACCAAGTTGATTGTTTTTTTCGTTTTCCAAGTACAATGTTGTATTTAATTTACAATTCAGAAAAGTATATTGAAAAGAAAAAAGCAAGTAATTTGATTAATAGTCTAAGTCTTTATTACCTGCAATAATTACTTTTTTGGTCTTAAAAACTACGATATCATTGTTGTTTTAAAGAACTTTCTTACTCCCTCCGGTCCAAAATAAGTGATTTTTTGGCCTTTTTCTTGTAGTCCAAAATAAGTGATTTTTCCAGATTTCAAGAATGAATTAATTATTTTTTTCCTACATTGTCCTTGGAGTAAATTGTGTTGGAATATGTGTTAGGAGTGTTGATATGAGATGGTAATGGTTAATATGGTCAATTCCATTGCTAATTAATGCTAAAAGGTGCATTTCTTAATATGTGTGAAAACATCCAAAAAATCACTTATTTTGGACCGGAGGGAGTATATTATATTTTTTTTCTATCATAATTGTTTATCTCATCATTTGAAAACAACAGTCAGATGTTGTCAAAGTTTAATAATTAAAAAGCTTCAAGGAGATTACTGTCGGAAACGCTCTTCAAAAAGTCAAGAACAAGAAATTGAAGATCTTGTTTTTAGTCTAAGGAAAAGAACAGAAAGATTTGAATAAACTAATAAGCGAATAAATATTGGCATGTTGCGTGGATTTATTCTTAAATTAAGTCTTTTACTACTAATATAATTGTGGTGGGATGGATAGGATTCTCGGCTTCGAACTTTGATAATGAACCAAAAAACAATTAGGAATGACTTCCTCTTTAACTAGTCTTACGCGACATAAATCCAAATTAGTCGAGATCTCAAAAGAAATATCAAATATCGCATGAGAAACTAAAAAAATCTCAAAAATATCCCAGAATTTAGATATTGGCTTATAAAGAGGCAGATCTATGCACGTAGAAGAGGGGTCACCGGATCCCCTTAACTTCAATCTTTTTTATTTTGAATATATAAGAGTGTATGTGTGTGTGTGTATATATATATATATATATATGAAAATAATCATATATTTTGATTAGAAACCTTAAGATCAAAAGTTCGATGGAATACTAATTGAGCAGTTCATTTTTGTGTCCCGTCACCTTCAAATCCTGGTCAGCCGCTAGGCTTATAATGGCTAGAGAAAGACATCATCATTCAGAAAAACATAGGGACCAAAAGTCCATTCAAATCACTACTTGTCAAACGTAGTGTTTACTCCAATTTGCATTTTTTTTTTCCTGTGCAAAGTGTTTTGACTATGAAAAAAAAAACGTAACTTTTTTGAAGTATGATTTGCATAATTGAAGCGTGTACGAAAAGGATGGGGAGACAAACACAGAGGGCTTTGTCAAAAAACACAAAAGCAAAAAGAAGGAAAATATAAACAAAACAAAATGAGGAGGATATTCTTAGAATTTGAACTTAATATTTTTGTCGCATTTTTTTTAAAAAAAAAAAAAAGGAAAATATGAGTATACCTGGGGTTCACCAATCCAACGAAGGGGATTGGAAGAAAGGTCAACTTCTTGTTCATGGGAACCTTTGTGCCACCAATCACTTAGCAACAAATTGAATTCACCATCATAATGGAATGGTTCTTTTTCACCATCTCCAACTTCCACTATTAGTGAACCATATAGCCCTGCTGATCTTTGCATCCCATAGTGTCCATGGTAGAAGTATGTCCCTGCCTGTTGTAATAATTTTCACACACACACACACTAATTAATCCAACATGCATTGCAACCATTGAAAGTGCATGGAAATAGGGACCGCCGGAAAGCTACGTTGCTCGGATTTTCTAAAAATATTGTTGTACATGCCGAAAAGGGAGCGTTGGAGCAACAGTAAAATTGCCTCCATGTGACTTAGGGGTCGTTTGGTAGGGTGTATAAGAATAGTGCGGAATAAGGTGTATTAGTAATGCATGGATTAGTAATGCATGTGTTAGTAATGCAAGCATTAGTTATGCAAATATTGTTTCTTATCTATTGTTTGGTGTGATGTATTAAAATTATAATGTATTGCATAATTTTTTAAAAAAATAGTTGCTTACAAAAATGCCCTCCATATTCTCTAGCTTTAAGAGACATTAAGGACAATTTTGTCTTTAACCATGCTAATGCATGCATTAAAGCCTTGGTATTACTAATGCCATGGTTTTCTATGCATTACTTATGCATAGGATAATGCCAAGTATAATGTATAACTAATACAAGTATTAGTTATACACAAGTTGAAAAAAGGTACCAAACAAGGTATTAGTAATGCATAGAGCTAATGCTTGCATTATTTTTTCTAATACCTCCTACCAAACGACCCCTTATAGATCACAACAGTGTTAGAGTCATGGGAACAACCACTAATGCTTGCATTAGAGTATATTGTCTGCATCACATATATAGTACTCCTTGGGGTGCGGCCTTTTCCCTGAACCTACTTGAATGCGGGGTGCATTGTGCACTGGGCTGCCCCTTTTTATTGTTGTACATGCCGGATCCTTCAAAATATACTACTTTTAGAGTATCGAATATATACCCATGACAGTATTTTTGAAGAGTCCAAGCAACATACAGAAAGTATAGCTTTAGGTTCTAAAATATAATGACACGAGTTTTTAATTTTTTCCATCTTATTAGTCAGACAAGTTAAATGCAAATAAAATAATTATTTGATGTTTGCTCGCGTGATAAAAAGAGAAAAGTACGAAAAGATAGTAAATGAAACATACCACAAAATTAAAGATTATAACACAAATTAATTAAACCTAACAGATAAGATATCAAATAGCTCGTATTTTATACATTTAGAAGTATATTGAGATCATACTTTTGCAAGAACGTTTTGGCTATTTAAAAAGTGTAAAGATTGAAATAATAATCTGTCTTTTTAATTTTAACCCAAATTAAGTTAAACAAAGTTGAAGAACAAAAGCACTTTTGTAGTTTGAACTTTTTAATCTTTTTACACTACTATAAAACAACATTTTCCCACGTCAGACCAAATCTGACGACTTTTGCAATATTCTAATGCAAGTTGGCAAAAAGTTAAGAATAAGTAATAAAAATAAAAGTACCACTTGATAACAAAGATATAGTTGGTGAAACTTTTAGATACTTGGACCTACTTTAAATTAAATAAAATTGAGGTACTATACTAGTATATCTCCACTAACTTAGTAGCATGATGAGTCCAAATTAATAAAGTAATTATTTACTTCATTGAGAGGTTCTTATGCTTTGTCTATTTATAATTTAAAATATATTTGTCTTTTTTAAATGCACCAGCAGAATAATCAGCACACAGTAACTTTTGGCTAGCAGTAAGCTTTGCTACTTGAGCCGTATGCGAAAACTCACACGTGTGATCATAGGCGGATCTGGGATTCTACGGTCGCGGGGCACTATAATATTCAATATAAATTTATCACTGCTCATAAGGATTGGTACTAGAACTTATGCTAATATCTTATTATTTTTAAAGATATTTACAAGTATGTATATATAGAATTTTTGCCGAAGTTTTCGGGTGCTAGTGACCCCTCAACTTATAGGGTAGGATCCGCCTCTCTGTGTGTGATTCTTGGGGGGGGGGGGGGGGGAGTCATCTTTTTTTCTTTTTTCTTTTTTTTTTTGCTTCGGTTATCTTGTTTTTCTCGCTGTTGTTAGTGCTGGTCCTTTTTTCATGGCTTCTTCACTATTGTATTTCCGCTTTTCTTGAGTCGAGGATCTATCGGAAATAGTCTTTCTACCTTCATAAGGTAGAGGTAAGGTTTGCGTATACATTATCCTCTACGGATCTCATTTGTGAAATTATACTAAGTATGTTGTTGTTGTGTGTCAGTGTCAGAGATGAGTAAGAGGAGAAAAAGAAGAATGTACCTTATCAACTTTAAACCTATAGAGAAATGTCTCTCCAGGGTTAATGGCACATTGGGAAATTGCTGCAGTTCCATCAGCCCATGGTGTTCCAATCTACAATTAAAATTTTATTTAAAGGAAAACACAAAAAGAAAAGAGAAGAAATGTCAGTCAAATTAAAGAAATTTTTTTTAAAAAAAAGGATAATAAAGAAACAAATATACCGAATAATAAGATACACAGTGCTTCTACATTTATCAATTTTCAAATTCTTTAACGAAAAGAAATCCTCAAATAATTGGTTCACCTTTTACTGTAAAAAACATAAGAACCATTGAACCTAACACTAATACTAAATATAGCTCTAAAACAATAAAAAATACGAAACGCATTCCACGCGTATTTATACTCAACTTTATTTATCTCTGTGCACAAATAATAGAGATGTCACTATTTCTATACTACTACAAGTTAAATAAGTTATTTAGGTGGATTGAAGTGTCCAGCTCAATGGTGAAGAGGGTTCAAATTTTATTTTAAAAAAAAGAAAAAAAGTAAAACACCAAGAAGGAGAAGAAAGTTACCTGCTATAGTGTGTTAAAATACTTTATAACAAATTAAATTAGATCCTTGCTATTCTCTTTTTCCTAATCAATGAGGGACGGGACATATAAAGTAAAAAAATAGTTCGGTTCACTAAGAATCTCGTGTTCACGCAAGGTCCGCAAGGGCCGCACCCAGAAGGGTATGCTGTAGGCAGCCTTCCCTGATACAAGTATCAATAGCTGATTCCACGATTCGAACCCGTAAACTATAAGTAACCAGGAGACATATATAGAGAGAGAGTAAAATAATATATATTTATACTGTCGGTGTATATAACAAACCTGTCGGATTCCATGCCAATGAATGACAACACCTTCAGTATGTAGCTTGTTAGTAAGATGAACAGCAACAGTATCACCAGCTTTTGCCCTAATAGTTGGACCAGGAAACTGTCCATTGATTCCCATTACTACACTTTCTTTACCATCTGGTGACCAATGAATATACTCCACGTCCCATTTAAAATGCCTTGTTTTTGCTGCCATTACTGACCTAGATGAAGATAACTCAAGCAATATCAATGGCAACAAGAAGAAGAACAAGAAACCTAAGGAAGCCATTATTTCTTTAAATAATATCAAGTAGAATGAAGTGACAAATTAATAGAGTAGAAGAAAAGAGAAGAGGAGAGTTTTATACAAAGCTCACACTAATGGAGCTTTGTACTTCATTTGTGGAAAATGTTGGAATATTAGATCATATATATATAAGGGGATGGGTGAGGGTTTAGAGGGAAATATATGAGTAAGGCAGGGCCGGAGTTAGAATATATGTTATGGGTTCGGCCGAATCTAGTATTTTTATTAATTCAAACTTTATATTTGTCTTAAAAAATTTATTGAATATGTACACATTATTAATTTAGAATCCAGTAACTTAAATGGACTAGAATATTCCGAATTATAAATTTCAAATTCTGATTTCGCCTCTAGTCCAAGGGATAATACAAGTTCTAATTATTTTATATTTTTTTTAGATGAAAGGGTAAGCAAGTCATAGTATTTTTTAAATGTATTTTGAAAAACAAAAATATTAATAAATTTATAAAGGGGAGATACCAATGAGTTTTATATCTAGGGGTTTCCTGTACGCAATCGCGTGTTTGTCTGTGTGTGATTTTATATTTCAAAAAGGGTAGTATGGTCAAAAAGGGTAGTATGGTGCATGATGCATCTCGTGCTCATTCAGGTTCTGGAAAAGGCCGTACCTCAAGGGAGTGTGATGTAGGTAGCATATCCTAATATAAGCATCAGTGGCTGATTCCACGGTTTGAACCTCTGACCTAGCCGTAGGGGTGTGCATTCGAATCGGTTTATCGATTTATCAATTTTCATTTCGAAATTTTTCTTATCGTTATCAATTTCGATTTCGATTTTGTCCTCTTCGGTTATCGGTTTATCAATAAACCGATAAGAAATACAAAAAAAAAATTAATTGTTTTTTTTTTTTTACCCTTATTCTATAATACCCTTTCCTTTACCCTAAGTCCCTAACCCTATTATTTCATCTACCACATTTAAGGAATGATCATATTTAAAGCTCAAGGGAATGAAATTCAAATTAATGGAAAATAGAATTAGCCGTGATGATGTATTTTTATTTTTTTATACCGTTGGAGTGTTGGTGGCATACATTTGATCCCTTACTTTAGTTTCGTTGCATGTGCTTGTTGACACAATTTTTATTTATAAACGGTGTTCGTCTTATTTTAGCTTCTTTTGGTCCATATTAGTTAGGCGTGTTTATAGCGATATACTTTCCGTGGAATCCCGCAAATTTTCTTATTGGTATAATCGATAACCGAATCGATAAGCCCCAAAAATCGATAAATCTAAATCGAAAAAATCGAAACCTTATTGAAACGATAACGATAAGCATATGTACAAATCGATAATCGATAAGTAATTATCGATAATGGTCAAAATCGAATCAATAAATCGAATGCACACCCCTACCTATAGGTCACATGGAGACAATTGTCAACAAAATAAGTATCAAACAAAATTAATTATAAATTAAATTAAGTGAAATTGTCTGTGCTTTACACAATTGCCAAAAAAAAAAAAAAAATAACTAGTTAACGTGTTTTTTCGAATAAAAGAAAATAGTAATCAAACACTCTTCATGGTTCTATATATCATCTCTTTATGATTCTGTTAATATCCTACATAAAATTCTTTGACCGAAAGGATTTGTGAAAAACATTTCAATCTAATGAAAGGACCCGTTTAATATGGAATACTTGAATTTTAAAGAAATAATAATGTAACATACTGGATTTCCTGGTGGCTAATAATTGTTTTTAAATGTAGAAAATCGCATTAGTGCCTTAGCTTAGTATGGACTAGATTTTTTTAGAATTTTTTTTTTTTAAAGAAATTTTTCAATCTTCGCACCTTCATATTGACTCTCTAGAATTTTATACGTAACTTAAATTTGAACACAAAAAAAAGAAAAGGGCAGCAAATAGATAAGAAAGAAACTAAACATTATATAGAAACAGGGTATATCTATTTTTCTGTTTAATTTTTATATGAAAATGAGAGATAATGCAAAAACCTGGGGAAAGAGATGAATGGTAAAACTAGTCAGAAATAGTGAGAAATTAATAGGTATAGTTATTTTTTCACAGACCTTTATATGAAAATGAGAGATAAATGCAAAAAACCTGAGGAAAAAGAAAAATGGTAAAGTTAGACGGAAATAGTGAGAAATTAATAGGGATTATTTATTTTTCTGGGAATTTTTATGTGAAAATGAGAGATAAATACAAACCTGAGGAAAATAAATGGTAAAACTAGTCAAAGAAAGGTGACAATTACTTCTTTTGATACTAGCTTTATAGCGGAAAATTTAAGTGCTACATTAATCTAATAAACGTAAGATATATGTCTTGTGTATGCGTTTTTTAACGCTTAACCATGGTTAAATGATGTATTTTTACATTGACTTACTTATTATTAAAGTTAATTATTTAATTAGGTGTAATGGTGATGGCAAATATCTACCGGTATAATTTATGTATTTCAGGTGTATAAAATAAGGGCACATATTCCTATCATACATTTCATATTATATTGGTTGGCTTTAATCATTTTCTTCTTTTTCTTTATCTTTCGTCCTTTTTTTCCTTTTCCTCTCTTTCTTCCTTTTTTTTAAAACAATTGTGCTATCATGTTAGCTTTAGTGTAACGCTTAAAAAAGAACAAATATATTACCACGTTGGTCATATAAATAGAATTTTATGCCAACATATTCATGAGCCATAAACATCTTTTTTGGTGTAAAGAACAAATGAATTCATTATTCCCTTTGTTATTTTCCTTTTTTAAGGAAAAAAATCACATAATAATTGATTGGAAAATAGAATCAATTGTACCACTTGACCACTGAAAAAATCCAGCTCACACTATGATATAATGGACTATATCCGAGAGAAAAACAACAAAAGAAAAGAGACAAGAAGGAAACTTCATGAAGATCTTGAAAAACCTTTGTCAATAAAGTATCTTTGATTTTTTATCTTATTTTCTCATATATCAAAAAAAAAATTCCAATACACGACGCATCTCGCCAGGGGTGTTCATAACAACCCGAAAAATCGAACCAAACCGAAAACCAAACCAAACCGATCAAAAAAACCGATACTTTTTGGTTTGGTTTGGTTTTGGTTTTGAATTTTAAAAACCGATCAAATTTGGTTTGGTTTTGGTTTTAATAAAAAAAACCGAAAAAAACCGACTATCGGGGTAGCTATTTCAAATTTATTATTACACCTATATATATGTATATTTTTATACAACGTTTCAAAAAAAATTTGGTGAATGTTAATCTTTTGCACTTTTAGTACAGTTCTTTATCTTAATATTCTAGTTTGATTGGTAGTTTTCTTTGTTAAGTGTAAGAATCCATTTCATGTTTAAAAAAATATATTTTTTAATCGAGTCCTTACATTATTCATCACTATTTGATTCAATTATCATCAATATATTTTAGTAAATAATACATTTCTCAAAGGGCAATTGATTTGATAGTGTTACGTTGAAAATGTGATCGCCGGAATATGTGTTTGGTAGTGTATGTCTTATATTTAAGAAAAAACCGATAAATAACCAAAAAACCGACAAAAACCGACATAAACCGAATCGATCATTAACCATGTGTTTACACCAAACCAATATATAGTTTGGTGTAAACACCCGATGTGGGTAAGTATTTACCGTATCGTATTATTTGGCAATTCTATCATTATTTATTTTTTTAATCAGATAATGCGATATTATTACACACTATAAATTTGGAAAATCTGATGTAGGATCGCACTTAATTTCTTTGTAAGATGGGAAAAATATGCTTCAGACAATAAGATATATATAGAATCTTGTACTAAAATATTTGTCGTTTTTACTCCTAAAGTACTCCTAGTAAAATAATAGTACTGAGTTTCTGACCAAGATGCACGAGAACATTATATTGAATAACGTGAAAACAAAAGCTAAGGAACAGAATGTGAGTGATCAGTCTTACTATTTCTGTCTGGTCAAATCTCCCAAAATCTATTTATTTTGAAAAATATTTTTTGTCAAAAATATTTATTGACAAATACTTTTAAAGAGTAATAATATGTTTGACTAATCAATATAAAAAGTAGTTTTGCAATATTAACAGCAATATCTGCTTGGCGAAGGTTTCAAAAATGCTTCCAGAGAAAAGGTTTCAACTTCTGAAAACTAACTTTTTCGACTACTCAAAAACACTTATTTTTCTCCTAAAACCAAATTCTTCAAATCTCTAAAATAAGTACTTTTTTAAATTCAAAAAAAAAATAATTTTGAGTCCTCGGAAGCTTGGCCAAACAGACTAATATATGTTACACAAATTCTTTTATGTGTATGTATTTGATACAGGTTTACGCAAGTCAAGTTTTTCGCTAATTTTAAGTGTATTTTGAAAAATCTGCATGAAATCTGCATACTTTATCTGACGTTTTTCGATGCGGATACAACAAATCAGTCATAGTTGTACCTCGATGCCAAACAAGTTAGGGGGTATTGTGAGGATTCACTATAAACTGGCAAATTTTATGTTGGGTGTTGATCAGCCGCACTCATTCTCCTTTATCCAAACTTGAGACCGGCAATGTGAGCAAGTTCACACAGATACCTCAAACAAAATGAAGAATTGGCGCAATTATTGCACCTTGTTATATATGGTCATTAATTCGTAAAAATTGAATAATTGTTTGTGCATATTTTCCTATTACAATATTTTAGTTTATCAAACACACAGATAATCCATACTATGACTACATTGGCTAGGGTCATATTTCATTTTTCACAAGTAAAAACAAAACAAGAACCAAATTTGTTAATCAATTTACATGTGCTAAATATGGCTCCTTTAGCCAAATTGTTGACTGATTTTCATGTTTGTGTCTATCTTTTGGTGAAATAAATATATGCCACCAACCAAAGGCGGACCTATGTATTAAGCAAAGTGGTCATTCAGGGCGGTTCAACGAATTTTGTGGTCTAAAGTCAAAATATATTAAAAGGCACTTAAATTCTTTTTGTAAAATCCATATACCAATGAGATACAAAGCAAACTCCTAAGACTTTGGCCTAGTGATAATTGTACAATACGTGATGTATGAATTATGTGCATGTCAAGGTTAGAACTCTATTG